AAAAAAAAAAAAAAAAAAAAAAAAAAAAAAAAAAAAAAAAAAAAAAAAAAAAAAAAACTCTGTTCATAATCTTTGGTACATAAAAGGAACTTCCTGTGGATATATATCAAATTCTAACAAATGACCGATCTGGGCTTACAAACACTGAGATCTGTCTGTTCATAATCACCAAAGTCTTGTATACAGAAATGCAAATACCTAATCAGTAAAGTGGCGGCATTATTAATTGCATACTTACCACTGTTATGACCTCAATATCCTTTAAATGAGAAGTCTCTGTGCTCAGTATTTCCTTGGTGATGTAATAGGCCTCATCCATCTGCAGCTAATTTAAAACAAAATCCATTTTGTACTGAAGTTACAGTCACAGGAAAAAAAAAAGGACACATTTTTCAAACAGTTTGCAGCACTATCTATGAACTGAGCAGCTGTGGAATTTTCAGCAGCTAGTTATCTGCTAGGCTCACATGGAAGCAGCCATTTCCCAAATCATGGTGTGTGTGTTTATTTTTTATTTATAGATTTATAAAAAACTGGGCAGGCATTTTAATAATGAGAGAGATACAGCTCATGCTGAAATACTCACCTTTTTGCCAAAGCTGTTCCTGCAGCAACTCCACTCTGCTGCTCTTCCTTATTTTTAGTTGAATGACAGCCAATGCCATTCCACCTACATCCTATGACCCCAGGATGTCATGAACATCGCCCCCCACCCCCTCCCCTGCAGGTCACCACATTGGCCAGGGCTCACAGTACAATAAGTTGTGGAAGAATCAGAGGAAGGGGACCAGCAATCAGGAAATTCCAGAACAAAAAATATGTATGATGAGAGGAGAGAGTGCGAGTGTGAGAGGAGTGCGCGTGTGAGAGGAGAGAGTGCGCGTGTGTGTGGGTGTGTGTAGCCTAGGAGTGTCCCCAACCCACCATCTGCTAGGGGCAGCTCCGTTAGCCACAAAGCAGTATATAGCGCAACAGAGGGGTAACAATCACTGGGGTGTTGTTTTTTTCTCTGTGTTCATTGAAGGACACATCTTATGAAGAATCCTATTTTCTTTCTGTTCATGGGACACAGCAGAGATCTTGAATCTCTGACTATTGGGACATCCTGAACCTTCACCATATGAGAGGTTTGCTGACTAATGTGTAAGGGCCAGTTCCAACAAGATAAACTTCTTCCACGGAGCTTAGAGAGGGCCAGACTACTAACAGGAGCTATGGCTGCGAGGTAACGCACAGCACAAACTACATCTAAACCAGGAAGAAAACAATTCTTCCTTAAGCCCTGGAGCTGGACACAGAGATGGAAAACCAATGTCCTGGTTGAGGTAGAAGCTAAAACCCATTAGAAAGGAAAGCTGCTCTGTGCCTCAACATCACCACATCCGTGTGCAGGACCAGAAGGGTCGCTATTTCAGAAAACACACCATGAAGAGGTGATGCCAACAAGTAAAAACCACTTTGCAGTAAGACTGTAAAAGGAAAAATACCTCAATAGATGAATGAACCAACCACAAAAATCAGACAGAGCCACAGGAGGTAGTACAAGGAGAGACCGTATTTAAAAAAAAAAACCAAAAAAACAAAAAACAACACCACACCCAGCAGAATGTCTTAACCAGGAAAACTAATGGTCTATGGAATAACAGTGCAAGGGCTGAGCTCTGTCCCTTGACAGTACTCAGGGTCAAATACAGATCCAGACCTGATTGCAAATGAGGGGAGGAAACCATTAATGGGAGGTGGCCTTCAGCTCATTCCTAGCTAGAGCATTATATTTTAGAGACAAACCTATCCAGATTTGTATCTACACTCTACGTTTTACACATCTGTAAGACTATATAACATTAAAAGATGTCAGAGATTTAGAGGCAGATTTTTTTCTTTTCACTTGGGAATTCTGGTCAGAAGTTATACAATTTATTCCCAACATTTTTGCTTTGCATTCTGGGGGTAGTTGCTGACTTTGCTCAGGCTAATCATATAAGGATTACTTTTCACGTAACCAATTTTTATACTTGTAAATGCCCAATTAATGACAAAACCAGTGGCATTAGAATGAGTGGCTTTAGTAAAGGTTTCTATGGCGCTATAGTCTTACCCTGGAGAGCAGTGGGTGACCCCTTAAGTTTATATAAGGGAAAACTTATTTTTTTGCGCTTGATAGAGTAGGGAATGGATTGTCCTATTTGTCAGGTTCCCCTTCACTTTATGCCCTGCATATATATATAAAAGTAAAAGGACAGCACTTCAAAGTGAGGGCATATTCCCAGTTAAACAGTTGTCACTGGAGCACTTGTCCCCACTGAAATACTTTCCCTCACCCACAGAAAAAAAATACAACAGGTGAACAGAGGTGGCCCAACAGAGCCCAAAAACATCAATTTTACAACTGAAGCCAACATCAGCAGATGCCTGAATGTCTTTATGAAGTTAAAACGTCACGGATGTATGAACCAAAGACCAGGTGGCAGCCCAGAGATGAACAATGTCCTGGTTAAGGACATTTTTAAGGTGGAAGAAACCACCTTGGAAAGAAAGGAGTTCCTGGGCCACAAAACAACCTTGTCTCTGTGTAGCACTAGAAATAGTTAATTACAAGTTAAGGCTGCCAACTCCAAGACACATCTCATCAAAGTGATAGCAACAAGAAAGGAATATATAAGTAAGGGTAGTCAGAAGAAAATCCATACATGGTCTCAAAGGGGGTTTCTGGAGAACCAACAGAACCAGGTTAATATTCCACAGAGTCACAGCGAAATGCACAGAAGTGTTGATATGAGCAACGCCATGTAAAAGGACCTTCACCAAGGAGTGAGGAGGAAAACAGTCTGACAGAGAACCACCAAGATGGAGACTTAACCGTTGGTGTTTCTCAGGGCAAAGTGTTGATCCAGACCAGACTGTAGAAAGGATAGCTGAACTGGAAAGTGAGCTCAATTGGAGTACTTTTTCAAATCAGCTATTTTGGCCTAGATTGTTCACTTCTCCTAACTCTTCACCCTTTTGTGAATAACCCCCTGAGTCCGATCTGAGAGGTCCAGCGTTAAAGAAACAACTGAACCAGAACAATGATCAGAAGAGGGTTTTCCTCCAAAGTCCACTTCCCCTGCACTAAGAGGGTATTCGGGATTCGCCCATTTTCAGGGCAAGCTTGGTCTGGCTGCTCAAACGAATAGGACTGTACTTCCTGTCCAGAGACTGTATTTTCCCATCCCATGCTGCTAGAATGTTGAGTTGCAGGACTCTGGAGCAAAATTGAGTATGTGGCAAAGAAATTTCCAGGAAGAAGGGAAGTAGAACCCATCCTGGCAGACTCCATCTTCTAGTTTGTATTTGCAGCCCCTGGACACCACATTCTGAACTCAGGGTTCCTGAAGCCTCCTAGGATCAGGTGGCTACAAGGGCCAGCTGGCATCCCTCAACTTAAATTATTGGTGAGTGCCCCCATCTTTGGGATGAGGATGTGCTCAAGAATGTGAAATATTGGGTGTCCAGGGCTTGCATTGGAACTGGGAACCAGGTTTCGCCTCAGACTTAAAGGTCTTTGCTGGACAAAAGGTGTCCCAGAGGGAGGCTTAATTTTCTTTTTCTGGGGCAAAAGGGAACTTTTTTTCCCCCTGGTGATTTGTTCAATACAAGTATGTAGAGATTCACCAAAGAGGTGCTCCCCATCAAAATGCATAAGGTACTGAATTATGGCACTTCAGCCAAAGAGGTTACCCTCATGTGGATACATTGGAGGCCAGTAGAGAAGGGTTGTGGGAAAGAGCCCCAGTTGTTGGAGAACCTTAGGGTCCATTAGGAGTGAACCTGGATCTTGAGAGATGGCTTTGGACCAGACGATGGTAGCAATGACAGCTGCACATGTGTGTACAGCATCACAAAGGACCAAAATAGTGTCCCTACACTTAAGAAATAAGGCAGAGACCTGACACTTCTCCTAAGATCATCAGGGACAGATCGGGAATAGCTGCAGCTAGAGGGCATTTAGAGACAAGACTGTGTGGTGCACGTATGCAGCCCCTGCAGTTGGTCAGGTTACATGGCTGTGATTTCCCCCATAAATTCTAGCATGGTAGCAGAAAATTGCTCGCTGGATAAGAGGAAGGAGTAATTCCAGAAGGGGTTAATGGAAGATGTCCTCTCTCCTAGAAAAAAAAACTGATTTGCTGTGAGTGGTTATTTTTTGGCTGAAGGCAACAGCACAACCCTATGTTCCTGTAATGTACGACTAAGAAAACAAGTCTTGGCTTTATCTTACAGTTCAAGTTAGAAAAAAAAAAAATGTAATTTATGGTGGCGTTCTCCCTTGATGAATAACAAAATATCAGATATAGTTTCTGAATGACTGCTGAAGGCATTTTGTCAGGAGCAGACCTGGAGGTTACAATGGATCACTGAACACTGAAGTAATTATGTTTGTTTTTATTCTTTGCAAAAAACAAAAACTATGAATAAAAAGTCTTTAATATCAAAATAAACTATACCCCTAAACAATGTCTTACCTTTTACATTATTGCTTTACAAGCATAGTATGCATATCAGACATAAATGTCTGTCACAATATGGGTAATCAGTTCCAATGGGCTGTAGGGGTGGCACCATAACAAACCAGCAGAACTCTACAGTGCCATCAATGGAGCTCCATCCCTGCCCATAGAGGCAGACGGCCTGCATAGTACTTCCCTGTGTCATGAGGACCGAGTGTTTTCTCCCAGTATCATATGATTACAACCTTGGTTGCGTTAAGATTTTGGATCGACTACGGTAGTTGGCAGAAATAAATTTAAATTTGTTTTCTGCTCGTAAGCACTCTAAAATCGTGACTCTGATTTGCAGTGTCTATTAACTAATACAGATTGTATACTTACTAATGTAGCTTAAAAGGTAACCTCATACTAAATACAGTATTTTAAACACTGACATTGTTTCTCCTTTAAGTTTGAAGTAAAAGAGACGAGAAATAGATAGCAAGCCACACTGGCTAAGAAGCGGTTTGGGCTGTTATTAGCACAGACTGTGCCCACCTTGATCTCTGATGATTCTTCAGCATCATATGTCCTGGCACTTCCAGTGTCACTTAATGAGGGACTCAACAATGGGGAACTGCCAGGCTGGGAATGAGGAGGCGGCAATCGCAATGTAACCGGAGACAACTGACAACCTACACAGACAGAAGACATATTAAACCAAAGCAAACATTTTGACACCATTGTATACAAGCAGCATTAGTTTACTGTGAAATTATGATTCACAAACAGCAAGGTAATAAATAAGGATTATTGAAGGTAATAAAACCACAGTTATTTGATGGAGATAGAAATC